ATGAAGAGATGATGATGATTCTGATGGTGGTGGTCCGATGATGGTGATGATGATGCTGATGTTGATGATGATGGCGGTGCCCCGATGATGACGAAGGTGATGATGATGATGGTGATGGTTACGATAATGATGGTGTCCCGATGATGATGATGTTGATGATGCTGATGTTGCTGATCAGGATGATGATGATGGTGTCCCGATGATGATATTGATGTTGTTCATGCAGATGATGAGATGGTGATGGTGATGGTGGTGTTTCGATGTTGATGATGATGGTGGTGTCCCGATGATGCTGATGGTGGTGATGATGATGATGGTGACGATGGTGGTGTCCCGATGCTGATGGTGATGGTGATGGTGGTGATGATGATGTTGATGATGACGGTGATTATGTGATGATGATGAGGATGGTGTCCCGATGGTGATGATGACGATGATGATGATGACGTTGATGACGATGATGTTGATAATGGTGATGACGATGATTGTGAGATCGATTGTGATATCGATGGTGAGATCGATAGTGAGACCGAATGTGAGATCGATTGTGGGATCGATAGTCAGATCGATTGTGAGATCGATCGGATGAAATAGATCGAGTGAGATCGATTGTGAGATCGATCGGGTGAGATCGATCGAGCGAGACCGATAGCGAGATCGATAGTGAGATCGATAGTGAAACCGATCGAGTGAGACGTTGTTTTCCTCCCCCCCCCGAACCTCCTTATCACCCGAAGGGTGGTTGTATGGGTACATATATGGGGCCACGAAGGGCAGCGAGGGGCCACGAAGGGCTGTAACGGGGCCACGAAGGGCAGCGAGGGGGCCACAAAGGACTGCAACGGGGCGACGATTGGAAGCGAGGGGGCCACGAAGGGCTGCAACGGGGCCACGAAGGGCAGCGAGGGGGCCACGAAGGGCAGCAACGGGTGCCACGAAGGGCAGCGAGGGGGCCACGAAGGGCTGCAACGGGGCCACGAAGGGCAGCGAAGGGGCCACGAAGGGCTGCAACAGGGCCACGAAGGGCAGCGAGGGGGCCACGAAGGGCAGCGATGGGTGCTAAGAACTACATGTTGTGAACGAGCCGCCCTCAACCCGTGAAGCTCGAACAGATTTATGAAACGAATGTGCGCGGCGCTTAAGCGAGAACTGCATTTTGAAAACGAGCCGCCCTCAATCCGTGACACCCGTGCAAAGTTTCGAAACGAATGTCAGGGTCGTTGCGTTCTTTCCGCCAGGCCGGTTGCGGGGGAGAGGTGGCTATTGGTGTGTTTTGCTGCTTGCCGCGGTGCTAGAGTTATCGCTCGGCTAAAATCCCTCCGGTGCTGTTTCTTTTTTTCGTGCGGTGCTAAGATAAAAGGGGGGTCGTAATAACTTCCTGCGTTTGATTTATATATTTTTATAGGGAACATAGCACATCTACATACAGAAGCTGCATGTGTGTACCGGCTTTGTACTGGTCTACATATATGTGACCAACATACAGAACAATGAACAATGTACTTAGAGAGAGAGAGAGAGGAGAGAGAGAGAGAGAGAGAGAGAGACATAAAGACATCGACAAAGACAAAGCAAAAACGATAGAGAAATATAGCAAGGCAAAGCAAGACAAACATATATATATATATATATGGAGAGAGAGAGAGAGAGGTGAAGAGATCGCAAGAGAGACATATAGCGGGAGAGAACGGATACTGAAAATGGGAAGGGAGGAGCTGAAGGAGGAGGTAAGGGATAAGGTGGAGGGGAAGGCAGCATGAGTGGGAGGGAGATGAGGACCATGAAGATGATGACGACGACTAAGGAGGAATGACGAGAAGGCGCAAGAAGGCGATGACAACTGCAGAAAAGGAGGGGGAAGGGGCGAGAGGGGGCAGAATGGGCAGCAGGAGGGAGGGCGGGAGGTAGAAGGAGGAATGAGAAGAGAGGGAGGAGCAAGGAGCAAGGGAGAGCGGAAAGCAGGATCCCACCCAGGCAATCTCCGGCCGGGGGCGAAGCGGCTCGCTGGACAGAAGACGGGGCCGAGGATGGAAAAAGCTCAGGGAACTCGCAAGAAGGAGGGCGGGTCCCGAGGGAAGCGGGTCGTGGACCCCAGGCCTCCCCCAGGGACACGCGCTTCATCCCGAGTCGTTGTCTGACGGTCCCGGGGGCCCGTGGGGGGGCCCAGAGGGCGACAACAGCGAAAAACCTCAAGACCTGTTGTGATGGGCCTGTTTTCCACCACCACCACCACCATAAGTTGGAGGGGGAGGGGGTCCTCCTCCTCCTCCTCCTCCTCCTCCTCCTCCTCCTCCTCCTCCTCCTCCTCCTCCTTCCCCCCTCCAACTTATGGTGGTGGTGGTGGAAAACAAGCCAATCATGTTGCCTTCATGACCCGCTTCCCTCATGGCGAGGGGAGTGCGGAGAGCACTGGCTGCGACCCGAAAGGAGCAGAGAGGAAATTTCAGGGAGGATCGCTGCCCAGTGGCTCGCGTCCGCGCGTCGCGCTGCTCTGTACCGCTCAACTGGACACCGCATCCCCCGCCCGCAGCCACAGGACGGAGGTCGACTCGTCGGAGCAGTGGAACTCCACCCTGATGAGCATCGTTTCACTGACCCCTGTCCCCGCTGGCGTGGCCTTGGCCCCACTGACCGACTTACCCACCCAGGTGGGAATGTATGTCTGTTGCTTCGGGTCCCATGGTGAGGCTGAGACACAGTTTTGGACGCCCGAAATGGGTACGGACAAATGGGTGCAATGCCCAACATCTAATGTTGTCCCAAACCAACAGCGGCCGCTGCTGGGCAGGCGGCCTTCTGTCTCGCATGGAGAGAGGCCGCGGCGGCGCGGACAGCGAGCCCTCTTCAAACTGAACAGGAACTGCTGTTGGGCATTGTACCCATTCTTTCTGTACCAATTTCGCGCGTGCAGAACAGTGGCCCAGTGGGGATGGGGATTTCGGGAGCGGCCAAGAGGGGGGTCCAAGAGGGGGGGGTGCAAATCATGACCGGCGGCATGTGCGCGGCCCAGCGGGGGGGCCGGGGACGTAATGAAATAAGAAGAGGCGCCATGAAATCTGGGGAAATATCATGGCCCACGCCATGATATCCACCCCCCCCTAGTCATCACCCCCCTCTTTTCCGCCCCCGAGGATTGGACGATGCTGACCTGAACCTCTGGCCCGGGCGGCCCTCGATGAGCCACGCGGCCTCGCGGTGCAGCTCCGGCGGCGGCGGCCCAGGGCCGACCACGGGCGCCGCCTTCGAGGGGTGCTTCTGCTCGGACTCTGCCCCCCGCGCTTGCTCGTGCTGCTGCTCCTCTTACTCCACCTCCTCCCCTCACGCACCAGGGATGGGCATCTCTGCTCTGTCTCACCCGTGTTCACGTCGTCCTCGTCTCGCCTCCGGTGCCAGCTTGTACATACATGGATCTGGTAGAACTGCATATGTCTATACATCCACGTGTAGTGAAGTGTAGCGGTATAGCGTACATATTGAGATGTGTATCGTGCACACAGATGAGTTCCAGGTGTACAGATTCAATTTTTTTGGAGCAGCCCCACCGAAACAGCCCCCGTAGGGACTCACCACCCACTCCTGCTCCACTCTCGGCCCCCTCCCTTAGGTGGGCCCTCTTTCACTGCTGCCCCCTACTGCCTGGGACATGCGCCTGGTGTCGGGGGCGACCGTGGGAATTGGCTCGCCTGCTCAATCCAGGAGCCCACTTTTTGCGCTGTGTGTGTGTCCTTGTGCGTGTTCGTGTGCGTGTTCGTGTGCGTGCGTGCGTGCGTGCGTGTGTGTGTGTGTGGACACTGATGCGTCATGTCCCCCCAGGGCCTACACCGATCCGGGTGTTGCAGTGGGTTTGAGTCTCCGCCCCCTCGAGGTGCTTGAGATGCTTGCTTCACGCTGTGCTGCGATTCATGGCTTGTCGACCCGTGCGCCTGTCGATAATTGCCGCCACCCCTCCGACTCCAACAACTCCTTCTCGTCCTGCTGCTGGTGCTGCATATTCTTCCCGTCCACCTCCTGCCCCCCCGTGGCCCCTCCCCATCCCCATCTTCCTCCTCCTCCTCCTCCTCCGCCTCATCATCATCATCATCATCATCATCATCATCATCATCATCATCATCATCATCATCATCATCATCATCATCAGCATCAGCATCATCATCATCATCATCAGCACCAACAGCCTCAGCCTCAGCATCACCAGTATCAACAGCAGATCACTCGTCCTCATTATTATCCTCATCCTCCTCATCCTCGTCACCAAGATCATTATCAACATCAACATCATAATCAGCATCACCATCACCACCGCAATCAGCATCCTTATTATCACCGTCATCAACAGCATCATCCTCCTCGACATCATCGTATTGTCATCGTCAGTATCAGCATCATTATCATCAGTATCGTCATCATCGGCAGCAGCATCAGCAGCATCAGCATCATCACCATCACTATCATCGTTATCATCAGCATTCGTATCATTAGCATCATCGTCATCACCATCATCAGCAGCATCATCATCATCGTAGTTATCATCCTCATCCTCATCAGCACCACCACCATCACCATCACTCCGTCGCACCCCATCATTATCACCAGCATCATCATCATCCGCATCATCATCATCCGCAGCATCGTCATCATTATTATCAGTATCAGCATTGTCATTATCATAATCCGCATCACCATCACAATCATCAGCATCACCATCACAATCATGAGCATCAGCATCGTCATCATCAGCATCAACATCAGCATAATCACCATCAATCTCACGTAATCACCATCACCATCAACAGCAACGTCATCACCATTATCAACACCACCAGCATCATCATGATCGCCATGCCCGCTGCCACCATAAGCATGGCCATCAGCAACATCGCCATCATGTTCAGTATCATCATCATCCTCATCATCTTATGCATCATCAACATCGACATCAACATCATCATCAACATCACCATGATCCCTATCACCGTCAACATCGCCATCACCATCACCACCATCACCATCACTAGCATCGCCCGCATCAGCATCAACAGCAACATTATCACCATCATCATTATCATCATCATCATCATCATCAGTAGCATCATCATCATCAGTAGCATCATCATCATCATCATCATCATCATCATCATCATCATCATCATCATCATCATCATCATCATCATCATCGCCCTCTCCCCTTCTCGAGCTGTTATTCTTCCCTACCTCGGAAGATGGAGACGACACCTCAACCGCCACCGCCGCGCATCCAAATTCCCATCCGTGACCCAAATATTGGTGGTGGATTTGGCTTTCCAGCATGGCCGATATGCCGACACATCGAGCACGCGCTGGGCCCAACCTGGGTGGGCGTACGTCTGAATGTGGTAGATCATTGGATAATGTCCATCGTTCTGCAGCGAGCCCAGGGAGAAATCCCGGGGATGCCGAGAGATAGGCACGCTGAAGGATCCCCGGGAACTCCCCGGAGGCGTTTGGAGCCCCTGGGAAGCCCCCGGAGGGGGCCGCGGAAGTCCCTGGGAAAGTCCTGGGGAAGCCTGGGCCCTGGAGGCTCACGCCCCCTCTCCCCCCCCAACCACCCTCAGCCCACCCCCCACCCCCCCCTGCAGGCGGCGGAACTCCTGGGTGCGCCGCAGAGGCACGAGGACCTGGGCCTCCGGGGAGGGACGCCCGCATGCCTGTCGCGCTGGCCGAAAGGCCCCCGGGCGGAGTGCGCACTTCGACAGGATACCTCCGCGGCCTGAGGGCCAAGCTCGCCACCACTGCCTGACGGGATCACAGCCCACCCGCCTTCGCCGCCTGGCCCCCCCCCACCCCCCCACCCCTAAGCCGTGCCCCTCCCCCCTCCCCGGCATGGCCCCGCTCCCTGCCCCACCGCCCTCCGCTGGAGGCCCGTGGGGACCAGGAGGGTGCCGCCCGTGGGCGCAGCGCCAGGGAGCTGGCGCCCCGGGCACGCCTTTGTTTCGGTTCCGAACAGCTTGGGACGTGCGAGCGCGGGGAGACACATGCATACGGAGGGACTAGGAAAAGGACAATTCGTTCATCGACCCTCCTTACGAGGACGTCGACCCTCCTTACGAAGGACCTCTGAGGGCGGTATGGGCAATGAATGTTTCATGTGAGGGGGTGGGGGTAGTCGGAATTTCAATCTCTGCGGGGTGTTTTCAAGAGCCGATCCCCCAGCAACGCTACTGACAAAAGGGGGCGTGGCAAAAAGGGGGGGGGTCTTGAGCCACTGCTGACTACTCATGCCGATGCTATGCCGATGCTCCCCGTCCCCCCGTTCGAGGGGGGCGGAGGGGGACTATGGCAATCCTTGGTGGACGTTCAGGCCGCCAATTCCAGGCGTTCCCGAAAGGACGGTGCGCCAAGGAGGGCGACGACATCCTGAACATCATCGCTCCTCCCCACTTCCCCCCCGGCGAGGACCGTCATTAGGCCTCGCCTGCGAGGACCGTCAATAGGCCTCACACCCCGCGCAACTTCCACCAATGGGGTTGCGTGGGTCCCCACTCCCATTATTTCAACTTTTCATGAGGGCGTCAATTGCCACCGGAGGGGGCCGAGGACCTCCCTGCAGCCCCTCGGCCAACGAAGACGGCTGCAGGGAGGGGTCCAAACGTACCTCCACCTTCCAGCACCAATGAACCAATAAACCAGTAAACCAATTCCTCATATTCCTCGTTGGGGCCGTGAACGGGATTTATCCCCTGCCGGCTGACGGTGCCTGTCAATGCCAGTACACCATTTTACCTTATGGCGCCATGCGCCCATCAGTACACCAATACACCAAGGGTGATGGCCCGACCCGTGCCGCCGCGGTGTCACATGTGCCGCCGCGGTGTCACTCATGCGGTCGGGCCCGCTCCCCACCCATTAGCCGAGCTCTTCAAGGACGGGAATGCGAACAAAACAAATATAAACAAGTTGTTTACCTGTGATTGTTCACCTTGAGCCAAACAAATGCGGTCCTGGGCCTTTTTCTACTACGCCTTCTAACTTCCCCATCCTCCTCTCCTTCCCCCTCCCCGGTTTCCTTTCCTTCCCCCCTCCCCCTCCTCGCGGGGGGCGGGCGGGTGCGCGTGCGGGGGGGGCGTCAATCCGAGGCGTAACAGTCTGGACGCTCGTATTTCCCAAACCCAGATTCATAGGCCGCGGATGGCGCGCCGATGGCCAGCGAGGCTACACTGGTTTTGAGGGTGTACCGGCCTATCCGCCCCTGAGGGCGTTCGCCTCTCTTTTCCCCTTCTTTTTCCTCCTCCCTCCTCTTTTCCCTCCCCTCCCTCCCAACGTTGCGGTCACACCTGAACCCGACTTCCCGGCTCAAGTATCGACAGTGTGCGCTTGATCCCTGCCAGGTTTCTCGTCTTCCCTTCCAGGCGCACGCACTCTTCCAGGAGCCGTCAGGACACGTCATCGGCCACGCGGCCGGGACAGAGGTGGACACTGGCTTATCCAGGGGACCAAAGCCGTGTCACGGGTGGTGTTAACAAATCGTGCCCCCCGGTGGTGTTAACAAATCGTGCCCCCCGGGGGCGGTAGCCAATCTCTTGTAGCTGCAAGCTGATCGCACCCGCTGCTGTCGTGTGAGCTTCGGCCTTCTCTCCTCTCGGTCCCCCTCGGTCCCCCTCCCCCTCCTCTGTTCACCCACCCGGATGCCGTGACTCTTGCTCTGGGGCCGTCGGGGGGCTACCTTCCCCCCCCCCTCCTCCTTTGCAGCGTTCCGTGTCCGACTTCTCCCTCTCTTCCTCCACTGCTGCTGTACATGTTTCGTCCAAGATGTCTCGCCTCGCCGCCACCCTCCTGAGAAGCCGAAGGACCTCTGAGGGCGGTATGGGCAATGAGTGTTTCATGTGAGGGGGTGGGGGTAGTCGGAATTTCAATCTCTGTAGGGTGTTTTCAAGAGTCGATCCCCCAGCAACGCTACTGACAAAAGGGGGCGTGGCAAAAAGGGGGGGGGTCTTGAGCCACTGCTGACTACTCATGCCGATGCTATGCCGATGCTCCCCTGTCCCACGTCCTCTCCCCCCGTCCCCCCGTTCGGGGGGGGCGGAGGGGGACTATGGCAAACCTTGGTGGACGTTCAGGCCGCCAATTCCAGGCGTTCCCGAAAGGACGGTGCGCCAAGGAGGGCGACGACGTCCTGAACATCATCGCTCCTCCCCACTTCCCCCCCGGCGAAGACCGTCATTAGGCCTCGCCTGTGAGGACCGTGAATAGGCCTCACACCCCGCGCAACTTCCACCAATGGGGTTGCGTGGGTCCCCACTCCCATTATTTCAACTTTTCATGAGGGCGTCAATTGCCACAGGAGGGGGCCGAGGACCTCCCTGCAGCCCCTCGGCCAACGAAGACGGCTGCAGGGAGGGGTCCAAACGTACCTCCACCTTCCAGCACCAATGAACCAATAAACCAGTAAACCAATTCCTCATATTCCTCGCTGGGGCCGTGAACGGGATTTATCCCCTGCCGGCTGACGGTGCCTGTCAATGCCAGTACACCATTTTACCTTATGGCGTCATGCGCCCATCAGTACACCAATACACCAAGGGTGATGGCCCGACCCGTGCCGCCGCGGTGTCACATGTGCCGCCGCGGTGTCACTCATGCGGTCGGGCCCGCTCCCCACCCATTAGCCGAGCACTTCAAGGACGGGAATGCGAACAAAACAAATATAAACAAGTTGTTTACCTGTGATTGTTCACCTTGAGCCAAACAAATGCGGTCCTGGGCCTTTTTTCTACTACGCCTTCTAACTTCCCCGTCCGCCTCTCCTTCCCCCTCCCCGGTTTCCTTTCCTTCCCCCCTCCCCCTCCTCGCGGGGGGCGGGCGGGTGCGCGTGCGGGGGGGGCGTCAATCCGAGGCGTAACGGTCTGGACGCTCGTATTTCCCAAACCCAGATCCATAGGCCGCGGATGGCGCGCCGATGGCCAGCGAGGCTACACTGGTTTTAAGGGTGTACCGGCCTATCCGCCCCTGAGGGCGTTCGCCTCTCTTTTCCCCTTCTTTTTCCTCCTCCCTCCTCTTTTCCCTCCCCTCCCTCCCAACGTTGCGGTCACACCTGAACCCGACTTCCCGGCTCAAGTATCGACAAGTGTGCGCTTGATCCCTGCCAGGTTTCTCGTCTTCCCTTCCAGGCGCACGCACTCTTCCAGGAGCCGTCAGGACACGTCATCGGCCACGCGGCCGGGACAGAGGTGGACACTGGCTTATCCAGGGGACCAAAGCCGTGTCACGGGTGGTGTTAACAAATCGTGCCCCCCGGTGGTGTTAACAAATCGTGCCCCCCGGGGGCGGTAGCCAATCTCTTGTAGCTGCAAGCTGATCGCACCCGCTGCTGTCGTGTGAGCTTCGGCCTTCTCTCCTCTCGGTCCCCCTCGGTCCCCATCCCCCTCCTCTGTTCACCCACCCGGATGCCGTGACTCTTGCTCTGGGGCCGTCGGGGGGCTACCTTCCCCCCCCCCTCCTCCTTTGCAGCGTTCCGTGTCCGACTTCTCCCTCTCTTCCTCCACTGCTGCTGTACATGTTTCGTCCAAGATGTCTCGCCTCGCCGCCACCCTCCTGAGAAGCCGAAGGACCTCTGAGGGCGGTATGGGCAATGAGTGTTTCATGTGAGGGGGTGGGGGTAGTCGGAATTTCAATCTCTGTGGGGTGTTTTCAAGAGTCGATCCCCCAGCACCGCTACTGACAAAAGGGGGCGTGGCAAAAAGGGGGGGGGTCTTGAGCCACTGCTGACTACTCATGCCGATGCTATGCCGATGCTCCCCTGTCCCACGTCCTCTCCCCCCGTCCCCCCGTTCGGGGGGGGCGGAGGGGGACTATGGCAAACCTTGGTGGACGTTCAGGCCGCCAATTCCAGGCGTTCCCGAAAGGACGGTGCGCCAAGGAGGGCGACGACGTCCTGAACATCATCGCTCCTCCCCACTTCCCCCCCGGCGAGGACCGTCATTAGGCCTCGCCTGTGAGGACCGTCAATAGGCCTCACACCCCGCGCAACTTCCACCAATGGGGTTGCGTGGGTCCCTACTCCCATTATTTCAACTTTTCATGAGGGCGTCAATTGCCACCGGAGGGGGCCGAGGACCTCCCTGCAGCCCCTCGGCCAACGAAGACGGCTGCAGGGAGGGGTCCAAACGTACCTCCACCTTCCAGCACCAATGAACCAATAAACCAGTAAACCAATTCCTCATATTCCTTCCCCTCCTCCCTTTCTCTCGCATCACGCTGAGCTTGACAAGACGCCCACAACAAAAAACGTCCCCGCTCCCCTCCTCGGCCCCAGTATGCCTCCCCCCTTCTCCCTACCCCTCCCCCGCCCCTCCTAGAAAAGAAACAGGTACCCATGCCAGTAAGCTCCCCGAACCTCTCCTCATAGGCGATCTGACCAACACTTTGAGGCGAACCCAGCCGTGGCGACGAGGGCCTCCCCGGAGACCCCCCAAAAAAATCGAAAACGAGGGAAGGATAGCGATATCGTCCGTACCTTGTCCTCTGACCGCCGTCTTCTTCCTGCCCTCGCCGCCTTCCGGGTGCACCGCGGCCACGGCGGGCAGTAGGCCGCAAGGGGGTCGCCGTCCGCAACCACGCGGAAGAGGACCTCGCCCTCGGGAGGCACGCAGACCTCCGCGAGACGTGCGCTGTACAGGCCGGTCGCGCCGTCCTCTACCTCTCCCCTGCCTCCCTTCCCTGCTTCCATTGCTTCCATCCCGCCCTCCCTCTGCGTGCTGTCCCTCCTCGCTGCTGCTACTCCCTCTCCTCCTCCTCCTCCTCCGCCTCCTCCGCCGCCTCCTCCTCCTCCTCCGCCTCCTCTCCGCAGGGCCACCCCTCTTTCCCTCATTCTCTCTCGCCCTCTCACGAGGGGAACTGAGTAGAGGGTCGCCAGCGTGGTTGCAGCGAGCGTCTTGGCAGACCTCTCCCACGTGCAGGTTTGGGATGCCGCTGCTCGGCTGCATCATGCTAAGGCCCCATTGGTTGAACGAGCCCGTGAGGTGGAACGTGCTGCCCGCCAGAGCCCGTGCGCGCTCTGCCGCTTCGCGCCACACCACGGAGCCGTCCTCCAGCAGCTCCACTCGGAACACCCTCCCGATCTGGCCCTCGCTGGCGGGCATGCCTCGGGGGGCGCCCACGGGACCACCTCACCGAACCTGGCTTTGGACGCCCGAAATGGGTACGGAAAAAATGGGCACAATGCCCAACAACAAATGTTGTCCGAAACCAACAGCGGCCGCTGTTGGGCAGGCGGCCTTCTGTCTCGAATGGACACAGGCCGCGGCGGCGTGGACAGCGAATCCTGTTCAAAATGGACAAGAACTGCTGTTGGGCATCGTACCCATTCTTTCCGTACCCATTTCGGGCGTCCAGACTGGCCCTGGGACCAGGATCGGCGCGCACGCTTCCCCGGCCAAGCAACTAGCGCGCATGCCCCGGTCCTGGGCTCCGCATGGGGGCCTGGACAGGCGGGACCGGCGAGGTGGTCCCGTTGAGGTCCCCTGGGTGCCGTTCGACTCCCACTGCTCTGGGTCGCTCCCCAGCATCGCGACGTCGGGCGGTGGCGCTCGTCGGATCCTGTCCATCACCACGCGTCGGAGGCTCCGCTGCCCGATGCCGCGCGAGGTCGCCGAGTTCCTCCCGTACGCCAGGGCGTGGGCGTTCGTGCCGCCGAAGCCGAAGGAGCTGACCCCGGTGTAGGAGCTGTCGTGCGCGAACGTGAGGCACTCCGAGACGAAGCGGCAGGGGAAGCCCTCCACGTTCAGGTGCGGGTTGCCTGAAGGGGCCCAGGGACAGACACATTCATATACACGAAAACCCAGGATCCCCCCATCTGTTCCAATAGACTCTGGACTTCTGTCGTCCCCTCCCCTTCCCAGGTTTCGCAATTCGTTTCCGGGGAATCGACGATGATTAGTGTCTGCAAGTGTTTTTCCCTCCTGCTCGCCCTCCCGGAAGTGGATGTTCGGGCCACACTCGGCCCTCATGACCTGCATGCAGCACTTCACGAACCCCGCCATGCCCGCGCCTCCCTCCAGGTGCCCGAGGTTCGTCTTGGAGGACGTGCAGGCCAGGGCGCGACGGCCCGCCTCGCTGCCGCAGATCCTCCTTTGGGCGCCCACCTCGATGGGGTCGCCGAGCGCGGTGCCCGTGCCTGGAGATCGGGGAGGAGGGGCAGAAGCAGGAGGAGGAGCACGAGGGAGAGGTGGAGTAGGCGCAGGAGCAGGGCAACTCACCCTCCTTCTGTCCTGCGTCCTCCCTCATCCTTCTGCTCCTCCTCCTCCTCCGCCTCATCCAGTGGCCATCGTCCTCATTCCTCCTCCTCCTCCTCCTCGTCCTCGTCCTCCTACTCATATTTTTGCCCATCCTGCCGCTCGCTCCTCCTCCCCAATGTCCTACTCCTGGCGTGCTGCTGCTGTTCCACGTCCTCATGTGTTCTCTTCTCTCCCCTTCTCTCCTCTCCTCTCCTCGCCTCTCCTCTCCTCTCCTCTCCTCTCCTCTCGTTTTCTCTCCTCCTCCTCCTCCACCTCCTCCTCCTCCTTCTCCGCTTCATCCGCTGGCCATCGTCCTCACTCCTCCTCCTCCTCCTCCTCCTCCTCCTCCTCGTCCTCCTCGTCCCCCTACTACTCCTCCTCGTCCTCCTCGTCCTCCTCGTCCTCGTCCTCGTCCTCGTCCTCGTCCTCGTCGTCCTCGTCTCGTCTCTCGTCCCTCCTCCTCCTCCTCCTCCTCCTCCTCCTCCTCCTCCTCCCTCTCCAAGGAGGGGGAGCTCAGCAGCGTGACGGCAGAAATGGAGCACTCCAGCCCACACGGGCGACGAGGGGGCCACCCTGGCTCGACCATGCACCCCGGGGGTCCTGGAGAACTCCCACATGGGTTCGGAGTACAGTCGGGCTGCTGAAAGAAAGGAACGTCACATACAACTTGAAATGTGTCCAGAACAAATATCGTTGACGAAATCTGGGCCAACTTCCCGGAAGTGTCTTGAAACAAGCCTGGGCCAACTTCTGTGGAGAATGCGTTCAAAAAAATGGGCCAGCTTTCCGGCAAGCTGGCCAAAAAACGCTGGCCCCACTTTGCGGGGTGGAGGTTTCTTGATCAGATGTTCGACCGTGAAGAACGAAACGCAGAGGGCTAGATGAACAATCACGGAAGGACCTATGGAACAACGGTCACACTTCGAACCCCAAGCGGTCCTGATGTCAGCCTCTTGACTGCAATCGGGGTCGGAGGGTCGAGCCTCATCGCCAGTGCATCGCCGATGAGTCGTCGATGCATCGGCAACGTTGGCGATGTCTCTGCGCCGTCCGAGTGGAGAAAATCGGGCTCCACGTCGAACAGCGTCGCTGGTGATGCATCGGCGATGCGGCGCGACCCTCCGACACCATGCGGGAGGCCCGAAGGACCCAACCCTCCGATGAGCCGCCGCTCCCGAGCGCCGTGGCACTCGAAGCAGTCCACCTCCGCGGGGCCCAGGGACGCCTCGCGCAGCGCTGCCCGGATGCACTGCTCCTGCGAGGGTCCGTTGGGCGCGGTGATGCTGGCACTCCGGCCGTCCTGCCAGGGGCCGCCAACTGACCACCTCACCTTCTGTGGCAACTCGTGGGATGATTCCATGTCATTTTGCTGGAATTCCCGAACCGACGCGAACCGACGCGAATCGACGCGAGTCGACGCCGATCGAGGCTAAATCGGCGCTTGTCGAATCTAGATCGACGGTTTCTCATCGATTACCAAACGCTGACTCACGCTAACGCACCCAAAAGACTGAGCTCCGAAGGGCCCAGAACCAGCCTGACCAGGATCGGTGAGGTGGTCAACTGACTCCTTCACATCCTGGTTGCTCTGGCTGCCGGCTGCGAGCGCGAAAACACTCGGCGAGAGTTCCGCGATGTCCATGAGGACGCTGGAGGCACCCTCGCCGCGGCCGTATCCATCGGCGCCCACGTCGAAAGTGAAGGAGCGACCTTTGTATGAGAGCATTGCGCCGCTGGAGGCGCTGATGAAGCTCACGGGGCTGTACGCCAGGTTGACGCCCGCGGCGACCACGGCAGCCAGGGGATCGAAGTCGCGGTACATCAAATGCAATTTTGCAGTGTGCATGGCGACCAACCCCGCAGAGCAGGCAGTGTTGATGGTCTGGCTCGACCCCTTCAAATTCATGAGGAAGTTGCAGCGGTTGGACATGATCGCCTCACACGTAGCACCGTACTACATACCCCCAGGGCGCGGGTAAGAACGATGCCCCCCCCCGCATGTATCCCAACCGTGCTTCTAGGACACCCGGAATCCTGACCCTTTCTCGATGACCGGCCAACTATCCATCCCGCATCGTGTTTGAACGGTCTTGGGGCCGAACGAAAGCCCCCAAAGAGCCGAAACTTTGCGCAGCGCGGGCATCCCTGGAATCGATGCCGCTCCCGCTTCTGGAGGAGGAGGAGGAGGACAAGGAACAACAGGAGGGAGGATGAGGAGGAGAAGGGGGAAAAGGGGGAGAGGAGGAGGGCAAGGAAGAGGAAGCAGGAAAAGGAGGAGGCGGAGGAGGAGGAGGAAGAGGAGCTAACGTCGCCGCGGGGGACGCGGTCCTGTCTCGCCGCCTAGCGGAGGAGAGCCCTCACGCGAGGTGAACGCGCGTGGCGGCACGCGGGCAGTGCGACGGGCACCCCGCAGGGGCTGCTCGGGCAGGTCGTGCGGAAGGACGAGAAGCCCGCCGCGCGAGCACCTGCACGACCTGTGGCATCAGGCGGCAGCCTCAGGGCGCGGCGGGTATGCTCGAACACGTTGCAGTTCTCCAGGCAGCTCTGGAGCCGCATCTCGCTCGTGTCCTTCGTCATGTTGTACGCTCGGCAGGCCATTGCAAACCTGGCCGTGGAATTCGCGATGCTATTCTTGCCCCCGTAGTCCTGGTCATCCCCGATCCCAAGCCCATCCAAAAGAGAGGTGGACAGGGCTCCACGAGGTCGGGCCATGTGGTGCAGCATCCCCGGGCAGGTCAGTTAGTTGCTCATGCTGTCCTTCGCGTCGCAGCCGAAGTGACAGCTGCGCTTCGCGGCGAGGACGTGCACTCTGAAAGAGGTCGCCCACGCGCCCGCCAGAGTCTTCATATTCGCCCAGGCACGCGCCGGCGGGAGGGTGGCCACATGCTTGCGCAGCTTCATCCAGCGGCCGTGCAAGTCCGCGGGCAGCGCGTCAAAACCGACGAGATCAGACTTGTTATCCTCCATGTCAGCATTGCTCATGTTATCGTCGGCGCCCTCCTCCGCGGGAAGGGCGAGCTGGTGCTGCTCGATCCAGCGGTCCAGCGGCGCCGTGCGCGACGCTCAGAAGCGAGCTCGGCGCGGCGCTCATCCTGCCCTTGGATATCTGCGCGGTGCGAACCAAGGTTGCCCGGCAGCGTGAGCTCGAGGAAGCGACGCCCAAAGGCGCCAACTTCTCACGCCTGCAAGCACATGTCGCGTGCGAGACGGCGCCATTGTTCGGGTGCGTCGCACCATGCTTGGAGACGATCTCGAGGGAGAGCTCCGTGAAGATGCATGTCGCACCTGTCAAGCCGGCCCTGCTCGTTGTGGCAGCCATTGATGCCGAGGAACAGGCCAGGCAGCCAGCGAGCCGCCCAGGCGACAGCCCGGCGTTGCAGGCGATGTCCAACCTCCTCGGCCAGCGCGCGAGCAGGGCCCGAAGGGCGCCGAGCCGACTTGGCGCCCAATCGCTCGGGGAACCATTCAAGGAGGTGCCGTCGAATGGTTATGTGCACCGTGTCCGCATAGAGCTTCTCCTGCAGCGCTAACAGGTATGCCTTCTGGTTCGCGCACTGCTCCTTCGGCGCGCGCGCCGGCGCGCGCGCCGCCCTCGAGACTCTGACAGGCATTGCCTGGGCCCTTGCCGTGCAGCCTGCCTGTGGGCGGCTCGAAGAGTACCTCTGGCGCGCTCGGGGAAGTCGACGATCCGCTTCGTCCGCTTGAGGGCCGAGCCCTGGCCCTCGACGAAGATGGTGTTCGTGGGCCCGTAGAAACGCTGCACAATCGAAGTCGGGCCCTTCCAACATCTTGCGCACCGGCGCCCTGCCACGGCGCCTGCGATCGGCAGCTCCTCGCGGGCCGTGTCGCAGAGACTCACGCAGGCCGCGTGCCAGTGCACGTCGTTGCGGCCAGGAGCGCCCGATGCCATTCGGGGTCTCGGCGTTGGTCCAGGGCGCCTTCGCCGGGGTGTCTGACATGGCGAAGCTGTTCGAAATTGCGCGTGGAAGTTCGTGGGTCGCTAGCAGAAACTTTGCCGGCGGAGAAGGCGGCGGCTCGCGCGGCTGGCCCGCGTGTGATAGGCAAGTGACAGCCGCAACATGATAATTTTTCGCGCTCTGCTGGGTCGTGGCACGCGACGAGGCGAGCTTCCCAACGCGATTCCACCACTTCCGGGCTGGCCCTCTCTATGTGTCAATCAGGGTCGCGCCGGGGCCGACGTATAATCCGAGATACTTCGCCATCTCTTCGATCTTGAAATTACGCCGTGGAAGATGCGCTGCCCCCAATATGTCACGGGTCTCGAGGGCATGACCAGGCGTCGGCAATGACCATGCCGGTGCGACGTTGCATTTCTCGGCTTGTAGCACGAGCCCAGCGATGACATCGGCGGCGAGGAAGCGCGGCGCAAGTCGCGAGACGCCGCGAAGGCGCGCGATGACGATGGTCAGGTCGTCGGCGCACGCGCTCGCAAGGCCGCGCCGGGCGCGCCCGAGCTCATCGCTGATCGCCCTGACGAAAGGGTCGAATGCAAGCGCCCAGGTCGCGCCGCTCGAGGGCGGCCCTGCGCAACCCCCGAGGCAGCGACGAGAAGCGGTCGCAGCGCGCCTCCGAGCTCGAGGAGGGTAAGCGGCATGTAGTAGCACGCGCGCGGGAGCTTCAATATGCGCCGGCCGATGCCACAGCAGCGCAGTACGAACCACAGCCATTGGTGTCCCAGGCTGGGAATGATATGCTGCGATATCCCTGCTGATGAACGCCGGTTTGTCCTGCCGGCAGTCGCCGCCATGCTGTGTCTACAATAACGACGCTCCGATGGAACTGGCGGCCGTTGACGCAGCCCTGCTGCTCGGGGGCCGCGTCTGCCGCGACGGAGTGGAGCATCTTGTAGGCTACCGCCACCAAGGGTTCGACATCCGCGCTCTTCCTCGATGGCGGACGAAGGCGAGCGCACTCCAAATTGCCCGCAGAATCGCTCACTTTTGGGGAGCATGGCCACGGGGGAGAAGTTGAGGCCGCTGAGAGGCAACATCGCGGAGGATCTCGCGACGTCGTGCGCGAGCTCGGGGTGCGCCTCGTAGCTCGTCGGGGCACGTGGCCAGGCTCGGCATGGAAGTCGATCAGGCCCTGGGGCTGAGTCGCTCGAGTGCTTGGCGGCCTGCTCGACGCTTGCCTCATCTGGAATGGGTGGGTCGCGCGTCTGCGGGCGTGGAAAGACGGGGTTCAGGTGCTCAGAGATCGTCTGCTCCTCCACCCTTGTGGCTGCGAAGATGGGCCCCAAATGATTCGTGATGGCCGCGTGCATCGCTGTCGGGTATGTGGCGATGGTGCTGTGCGTTCCCGCGACCATCTTGATGCCCGTCGAGATGAGGCGCTTCGAGAACGGCTTCCACCGCTCGGCCTTGCGGCTTGGCGGCCTCCGTCATGATGGCCTCCATCGCCCTCCACTTGGCGGTTGCGGTCATGTTGCGCAATTCGGCCTCGCTGGGAAGGTGCTGCACGTGGCGCAGGTAGTGCCGCGAGTCGATGATGAAGGCCGGCATGGCACACTCGGCCTGCGGACGCTGTCGACGAGGGCGGATTCTGAGATGCATGTTCACGCGATCGCTGATCATGCCTTTGCTGGATTCCAGGGGGGCGTCGTCGGCCACGAGCACCGTCTCCGCGGTAGGCATCGCGTGCGCAGGCAAAGAGATGAAGCCGCTGTCGATCGTGGACTCTGCCACGCTGGCGACGCTCCTCCGTAGCGCTGCGCGGCTGCAGCCTCGGCGTCGGCGGGCGAATCGAGGCTCCTGGGCGGGTCCTCGCTGACGTCGCCGAAAAGAACAGGGAGACGTCCGCGTGGTCGCTCGTTGGCATGCTCTCGCAGCCGCATCCATGGGCGTTGCAGCTCAGCTCGGTCTCATGAAGAAGTCGAGGTGTGGTTGTGAACGTTGAGTAAGGTGGCATCTTTCCGCCGCTGGGTGTCTGTTACCCGGAGCCTAGTCGCTCGTCCTCGAACGACGACATAGAAGCGCCGAAGCTGTCATTCTTCGGGTTGGCGGGTTAGCTCGACTTTGGCGCAAGGCGCCAGGCAGCCAACCCCGCCTGCGCTAGGGCAAAAGATCTGCGGCTCATGAGGTTTCTCGCGGTTGGTCTGCACTTGCGAGTGGAGCGCGCAGTAGGCGTGCTCCGTCGGATTGGCCAGGAGCGCCATGCCACTGATGGTCCCGCGTGCTTCTTGTAGGGCGAGGACAGCACGTTGGCGCAAGGGAGGAATGAGAAGACGCCGTTCGTCCTGCCGACGGGTGGCGGAGCGACCATGAAGAGCTTGAGCCAGAAAGCGATGTTGAGGGTCTCTTGCGAGGGGCGTTCGCAACATGGTGACCATATCGCGCTGAAGCCACTGCGCTGCTATGGGAGATTATGCGAAGGCGGCGGTGACTTCCTGAAGGATCTTGCTCTGGATGGTCTCGGTGATGCCTAATGCAGGGCTGCGCTGGGCTAGGGCGGTGTAGTTGGGTCATCCGGAGAAGCCCGCCTGGATCTGAGCCAGCACGGCGCCCCTGTGCGCGATGTATTCCTGCGCCCCGTTGATGCGGATGTCGTTGATGGGGTCTTTGCTTGCAAGATCTTGGCGAGCTTTGTGACTCGAACTCCCCTGCGCGCGAGCTTGAAACTCTTCTCTTCGCTGGCGTACAAAGGATGAGCAACACCTCTCACATGAATGGTGAAGTCCCTCCATGCTTGCCCAGCGCGGAGTGCCGCATGAAGTTTGCGTGCTCGAGGTTCGGCGACCACCTTGCCGCCCGCGACGAAGAAGGAGTGGCGCCTGGCGAAGCCGACCGTGTTGAATGCGAGTTGTGTGTTGTCGATTCCTGATGCTTTGAATCAATCTGGGAGGGCTGAGCGAAGTGCTTCTTTATTGAATGATACCGAACATTCACACCAACACGTGACGGGGTCTGGCTCGCGGTC